AAAAAAATAAAACTTGTTCATAAAAAGAGAATGATTAACTGACTGATCATTCAGGAATTTCTTATGGCTTGGTGAATAATTCCTGGGCGCCTGTGGCTCAGGAGGTAGAACTGGTTTGTGGATCGATTCTCTGGCTACTCCAGCCAGCATGTCGAAGTGTCCTTGGGCAAAATATTGTTGCCCCGACGAATCATTCGGAGTGAGAGTGTAGACAAGGTGCTTAGGTATAGAAATGAATGTGTGTGTGATTGGATAATTGAAGTTTGCAGTAAAAGCTCTCTGTATTCAGAGTACAAAATCACTATGCAAGTAGCAGTTTACCATTTAGCATATAGCTCTTTGGGTTATGCTAGTATTGGCATATTAAAATGCTCACATGCTAACTGATGTTCGGAGGCTATACCGTTTATTATGTGCATCATGTAAGCTTGTTAACTTGCCAGACCAAGATAAGTTTAGCAGTCATTAATTCGGTGTTTGAGTCTCGCACTTTCATGCGTGCTTTTTCGTGCACGTTAGCACATTAAGTACAGCAATGTGAAGTCCTCTACAAGTACCGACACGGTATTCTCATACAAAAGTTGCAGTCAGAAAACTGTAATACTTATAATGTCCAATCCTTGAAAGCACCAGCAAGCCCAGCTTTCTGGAAGATTTCTGCATGAGTTGTTTGCTGCTTTAGGACCGCAGAAGCCTAGAGGCGGTTACGGTGATGGACTGCCGATTTCATTAATCCATCAGACTTTAGGTCTTAACAAGTTAATTGTCTTGCTGTTGTGAAACTAATGGAATCACTGGTTTCCTGGAAGGTAGGAAGTCAGTCTGAAGGCATGTCATGTGCTTTGATTAGCCGTAAGTGGTTATGCAGCATATGGAAAAAATGCGTGGGCGCATGAAACTTCCAGTCGTGACTTTCAAACCGAAAACCAAGTGAGTGAGTGACTAATCATTTTGACGAATGAATAATGCATTATTTGCCTCAGTAAATGCATTTGGCTTTAATGTAATTTAAAGAATATCTACCATATGGTCTGCGTTCTGGCTTCTGGCTAGTTTCCCCTGATTTGCTTGATTAACTTCAAGTTCAAATCTGAACTCGGGGGCCACCCAGGCTGCACCTTGCCATCGGTGCAGGGGTGCCACACCCTCTCTCTGCCCCTCTTCCTCAGCGCTATTGTTCCTTCTATGACAAGGACCACGTGCCCCCCTATTCAGCATCCTGGTGGGGGGTAGGCGGGCTCTTTGTCTGCCTGCCATTGTCCCAGACACACACGCTTCCATTTGACGGACACACGTGCTGACAAAAGAGAAAGGGAGTAGAAGAGGAGGAGGAGGGGCCACCGCTGGCCATTATTCTCGATGGTGGTGGCGGTGAAAAGACGAGACGCGCTGGCCATCTGTGGTGTGTGTTTGTAATCTGTAGTGACCGTGTGTGTGTGTGTGTGTGTGTGTGTGGATGGGGGGCACACACACACACACTTCTCAGTTTCTAAAAGAATTCCGCCACGCTTTTCGAGGGGTATGATGCCTATTGAAATGGCCTCCCCTTTACGTTCGATGTGGTTTTGTTTTGCTCTGAAGTGAGGTTTGAAAAGAGAAGAAAAAAGTCAAAGTGACCGATAACTGTTGAAGTCAAATCAACATCCTAGAGAGAAAGCAACTATAAAAAAATCTCTAATTCCTTTCTTTTCCCTT